TGTATTTGTGCATTCCTTCTGTAACCCCAGTGTTAGGAAACATGGTGGGACTCAAACCCTCAGATGTTCCTCCTCCACTGGGGGTGAAGATGGCGAGTGCCGGGGCTGCAGCCTGTGTGGCCGACCTGATCACGTTCCCTCTGGACACGGCCAAAGTCAGACTGCAGGTACCTGTTCAGAGACTCTGGCAAAGATAGTTTTAGCAACATGTTAGGCTGTGGCTCAGTGAATAGTGTGCTGGACTTCGAATCAGGGGGTAGCAAGTTCGAGTCCCACTTCAGTCAGCATGTCGTTGTGTCCCTGGGCAAGACACTTCACCCCAAATTGCTCCTGTGGGGATTGTCCACAGTATTGAATGTATGTAAGTCGCTTTGGATAAAAGCGTCTAACAAATGACATGTAATATAATGTAATGTTTTCCCCACATTTCCTGCAATGCATCTGATATTACCTGTGTGATAATGATCCACAGTTTCTTATTTTACTCTGTGATACTTTGGAAAATAGTTTGATATTGGCAGTAGCGTAATATACATTTACAAAAGTACCTTATTTAATTAGATTTGTGAGGTACTTGTAATTTACTTTAGTTTTTATATTTTATGATTCTTCATACTTCTACTCCACTACAATTTGGAAAAAAAGTAATTAAGTCATTTTAACTCAGTACACTAATGCATTGATGTACTATTATGGATTAAGATATCTGGCAGGATAAAAAAAAGTAATTAAAGTTATCACCACACTTACCAGTTGCAAAATTATAATATCAAAATCAAAAGGATTTATATAAATATATTTATGCTAATATTATTGTGCTTTGACTTAAGTACAATTTTGAATGCCAGACTTTTACTTGTTACAGAGTATTTCTACACACTGGTATTATAACTTTTACTTAAGTGAAAGGTTGGAGTACTTCCACCTCTGCATATTTGCTGTTATTGACTGAGCCGCTTGACTTGATGAATACATCTATTGCACTCATCAACACTGTTGAGTTGCTGCACTGTTTAGCCTAAATATTCTGGTTTTAGCCTTGAGTTCAATCTGAATCTGTGACCCCAGATTCAGGGAGAGAAGAAGGGAGTGGAGGGGATCCGCTACAGAGGGGTGTTCGGGACGATCAGCACCATGGTCCGGACCGAGGGGCCGCGGTCTCTGTACAACGGGCTGGTGGCCGGGCTGCAGAGGCAGGCCTGCTTCGCCTCCGTCAGGATCGGCCTCTACGACAACGTCAAAAACTTCTACACTGGTGGCACAGACCGTAAGTGGTTAATTGAAAGAACATGCCGGTTTTCTTTTAAACAGGATTTAAACATCATCTTATGCTCATTTTCAGGTTCATATTTGTATTTGTGCCTCTGTGACATGTCTCCATGTTTTAATGTTCAAAAAGCTCTTTATTGTTCTCATACTGCCTGTGCTGCAGCACCTCTTTTCACCCTCTGTCTGAAACCAGAGCCCAGTCTGCTCTGATTGGTTAGCTGGCTGGCTCTGTTGTGATTGGTCAACCGCTTAGAGATCTGCAGCCCCTTAGCCTACCATGTTTAATGTGCTGGGACGCTAGCCAATAGAAGTCTGATTAAGATAAGATAAGATAGAACTTTATTGATCCCAATTTGGGAAATGTTTGATTGTTACATAGTGAAGCATTTCAGGCAGGGGGGGGGGAGAGTGGGAGAGAAACTCCCTCTGGACTTTGGGATTTTAGCCTTTGCAGACCATTTACATGCACAAAAACATATATAACACATTTAAGGATAGGGAAAACCCCAAGAAGCAAACCAGGATCTCTTAATTAAACATGTCCAAATTGACTAATGTGAACTCAACCCTAAAATCCCTAATCAGTCTCAGGGGGCTTCAGACCTTCAAAAGAGTGTTTTTTGAAAGAAAACAAAGCCAGTGACCCCTCAGGAAGTTCAGAGGTCATACATTGTGTTGTCCAGATAGTATTGATGTCATGATGTAACACCAAATAATTCGGTGTTTAAACCTCAATTGCTTTTTAGAACCTATGATAATGCTGAAAAGTGATTAATGTAACTAATGAACACTTTGACCAAAACAGAGGTCCAACAGTTTCAAGAAAGAGTTTTCATATATAATACAAAGTGTAAATGTGATGTAAAAATGACCTGTTATATGTGTACTGTATCTGTCTTTCTTCACAAAAAGTAAAACTATATATTCTTAAAGTAATGTCACAATCATCACAACGATAAGAGTTTATAGCAATTCATTGACGTTTAAATTGAGAATTAGGACTCAGTTTATTAACAGCAGAGGTTAAAATACCTCCCAAATGTTTTGGCAAAGTAAATAACTAATTAATTACAGTCATATAGTACATTAATTTACATTTCACCTCTGGTCGTTCCTGTCCATCCCTCTCCAGAGGCCAGTATTTTGGTGCGGATCCTGGCCGGCTGCACCACAGGCGCCATGGCGGTGTCGTTTGCTCAACCCACCGATGTGGTGAAGGTTCGGTTCCAGGCGCAGATGAACCTGGACGGCGTGGCCCGGCGCTACACGGGCACCATGCAGGCCTACAAACACATCTTCCAGAACGAGGGCATGCGGGGACTCTGGAAAGGTGAAGTTTTAGTAAGCATAGTACAAAATAACGCATATTTATAGTTTACCTATGCATGTAAACTGTCAATATAAGCTTAGGTTCAACCATTTTTTTTGTTGTAATGGCTAAAGGCTCGTCACTTGTTTTTCTCATGTGTGTTTATTTATCTTTCTGTACTATGGAAAATCTAATCAATATCAGTGTATGATCTTATTTTGGTAATGATGATGTATATTAGCATGTATAAGGTGTGTGTGTGTGTGTGTGTGTGTGTGTGTGTGTGTGTGTGTGTGTGTGTGTGTGTGTGTGTGTGTGTGTGTGTGTGTGTGTGTGTGTGTGTGTGTGTGTGTGGTATGAATATGACTACTCCATAATATACATGTGTAACGGATGGATGTCAATGGGATGTATCGTTGTGAATACCTTTAACAATGTCTGTGGTTTTTACTTTGTCTAAAATTTCATCGCAAATTGTGTATCTTACATTAAGGTATTATGCTTCATGAAAAGATTTTCGCATTCCCTTGCTAAGTATATTATGTCCCTTTTAAAAATATATGTGTGTGTGTGTGAATAAAGAATTAAACAAACAATACCTTTCTGTTTTCGCAGGCACACTACCCAACATCACCAGAAATGCGTTAGTGAACTGCACGGAGCTGGTTACATATGACCTGATCAAAGAGGCCATCCTCAAACACAACCTGCTGTCAGGTGAGAGACAGAGACATGCATGTGCAGTGTCATGAAGGTTAGCATTTTAATAGCTAACAGATTAAAAGTTACACCTGTAAATCCCTAACCCTATGTAGTAAGTAATGCAATACTTGTTATTACTTCATCAAAGTAATACAATTTACACTTCATTACTTTTTATAATAAAAACTTGCAAATAAAGCTGAAAAGTCGAATAACCATCAACTAGACTTTGTAAATCTCACCACACAACACTGACAATACTGTCAAACTTGTTATCAAGTTTTTCAATTTATCTTAAATTCAGATTGAATCAGACCATAACAAATAAAGTTTGATTCTGCATTACATGAGCCAACGAAAAAGTATTCAGAAAAAGCTCTTCATAATTTCAGCACTTATTGTAAGTCGCCTGAAATGAAAGGTGACATAACAGTTTCATGTAACCAGTTACTCTTCAATACACATAGACACACACTACTCAGAGAGACAGCTGATTGGCTAAGGCACCACACACCCTCCCTCACAGCTGATAACGGTGCTGATACAGGACATGGTGTATTTTCCCCTCACAGTGCAGTAAATACAGTAGCTAAAACCACATGTATCTCAATCATTCATAGTGCCCATTCACAAAGGTTCTATAATCTGCTGAGTTGAGTTTCTGTACTGCTCCGCTCAGGACAAAGGCCTCTCATTCACACGCTTTATTGTCTTGTTCACTATCTCTCTCTCCACAGATAATCTGCCCTGCCACTTTGTTTCTGCGTTTGGTGCCGGCTTTGTCACCACAGTGATCGCCTCCCCTGTAGATGTGGTGAAAACCAGATATATGAACTCACCTCCAGGCCTGTACAAGAGCGCCATCAACTGTTCCTGGATCATGATGACTAAAGAGGGGCCGTCGGCTTTCTATAAAGGGTGAGTTTCCCCTGTCTCACACTCATATCACTGGTTTAGGAATATGCAGGAACACTTGAGGTCATTGAATAGAAAATGTTATAAGAAATGTTGCATTTGTGGACCTATTTGACTTTTATTTACCTCGCAAGTTTAGTTATAGGCCAACCAGGTCATTCTTTAAGTTTTCACGCCTATACCAGTTCTACATACCTCTTACTTGATTTAATGGTCTTTATTTGTAGTAATTTCTGTCTTTTTTCTCTTGTAACACCTGAATTTTCTTTTTCATTTGTTTTCTGTAGATTTGTGCCCTCATTTCTGAGGCTGGGATCGTGGAACGTAGTAATGTTTGTCACATTCGAGCAAATCAAGAGAGCTATGATGGTCACGAAGAAGCGGTACGAGGAAGGAAATTGAGATTCCTGTGAAAAGTTTGAAATTTGGAAAATGACTTGAACATCGATGAAGAAATTGCTTTTTTTATTTTTTTTTATTCTTTTTGTCTTTTGGTGACAAAGAAGAAAATCCTTTGTTGAAAAAGGAATATTTGACTTCATGTTGAACTGATGTATAAACAAAATGCAGTTCCATCTTTATATATGAACCCATTTGAAATTAAATGGGGCTGAAGCTTGTGTTAACTCCCCTTTAAGAAGTTTGCACTTTAAGTAAATCCGAATCTGTTAATTAGATATTTTAGGCAGCTTACACCAGTGCATCATCATAACATGTCCAACCGGTTTATGTGAACCTTAAATATACATGTGTGGTTTTACAGACCCTGTGCTTGCTTAATAACTTCTTTCATCACATGAAATACATTTTAAAACATTACAACATGTATTTATTAACTTTGAGTCAGATGTTTTAACTATTACATACTTTCCTCAAAAGAAAGTCACAGCAAAACAAAAATTATTACAGGTAATAAAAATGCAGTTTTGAAAACAACCATTTTGAGTTTACCTATATTATAGAATACAGATGCCATCAACATTAAAACATGCACCAATTTAGGACATACGAATCCACTTCCTGAGCGGGACAACTGTGAGAACAAACCGTCTTGTTTACTTGAATACAAACAAGAAAGCTACAAATATGGTAGTTAATCACCATTTGTTAAATAACCGTCTTTACCGGAAGAGTTTGGCTGCTCGCTGACTGAAAATGAATTACATCCTCATGAAGACAGCCCTGTTACCTCTACAGTCTGAAGAAGCTCTTATTTCCCATTTATAAATGTGAGTTCATCTCAGGAATGGACATTTTTGAGGTAAAGGCGTTGGATTTGTGCTGTATTTTAAGACGTGTTACTTATGAACCACAACGCCAACTATAAGGGGATTCATTTTTTCACATTTTTGTGAGAGCTACCAGATTTAGTCAGATTTTTGTCTTCTTCATCTCATATCGTCAGGGGCCACGGAGAGGTGAGGGAATATTTCCAAATAACTTGTTTGGATTCATACATTAGTTTTTAGAGCAGGCAGTCAATGTGAGGTTTACATCAGGGTCCTGTAGATTGGTCTTAACTATGGTGTGGAATTTCTCTCTGTACTGATTGAACTGCATGATGCTTTCTGGTTCTTCTGCCACCCAGAATTTATCAAATTCATACGCCAGATAACCTGGAAGAAAAACACACAGATTTTTAGAGAAATCCTTTAAAAAAACGTGACACTTCTTACAAAGATTACATTTTGTATTTTTCTAGCAAATGGAAATAATCAGAGAGGTTGAAAAATAGAACAGTTATTTGATTTATATTTACTCACAGTATAGCTGATGGAATTGCCGGAGCTCAGGAGTGCCCGGTACTGTGTTGTAGAAATGAGGTTTCAATTCACCGCTCTTCAGGAGGCTGTACGCCATCTCCGTCAAGTTGATCCCAACAATAGCATAGGAATACCTGAAATAAGAGATAAGGCCTTTGACACAAAACTGAAAACAAACAGAAAATGCAGGTATTAATAAATGTATGAATGTCACTTACCCTAGTTTAGGATGGTTTGCGTGAGACAACACCTGACGAGCCTCCTCTGTGTAGTTTTCACTGAAAAAACTGAAACAAAATCAACTCATTATAATAATTATTGCAAAAGTGATGGAAAAAATGTGGGCTAAAGAGTTTGGAAAGAAAAAAATCTTGGAACGTGGAGTTAGAAAGTAGTGATCTTTCATGATCTCTATGTGATGAACTCATCTCTGCTTGTGGCTACATTAGCGGCTACATTAGCAGCTACTAGCATAACACCTGAATCACTGAGCAACATTCTGCCACAGCTTCCATTTCTTAGAATAATGACAGTATGTTACAGTACAGGCTACTAGACTGTGAGGTGTGAACACACATGCATGACTCAACACAGATGAATCATTAACAGGGATCTGTCTCACTGTCTACATTATGTGCTCAGTTTAATTATTAGACAATGTTCGAAAACACAGCTTTTTCCAAGAATATGGCTCTAAACATGACACTTGTGTAAATAATTTAAACAAAGAAAATAGATAATGATGTGAATTTGTATTTGGAAACACATAATAACGTTGCACATGTTAATGTCTCTTGTGATAACAATATATGTTATAACATTTGCAGCAGTTTTGAGTTGGTTTTATGGAGGGTATACATGTGAAATGGAGCTGGATTTAGGATTGAATTTCCAGGTTTATATTGATAGATGAGAGTAACACCTACGTCACTTCCGGGCGAAAATTACGGCCCCGCCCACTTTTGGGGGAAAACAACGCTGTCATTTGAATGGCGTTCAATACAAATTCTGAAGTTTTTGCAAGAAAACCGTGGATTTTTGGATCTTCAAAGAGCCCGATTACGATGGCCAGTCAGGCAAACAATTACATTAAATCATTGGAAATCAACAATCGGTCTCGATATATGGTTAAATTAAAATCAGTAGACGAGGCTGTAGTTTTCGCCGGCTGTTACTCTCATGAGCGAGGCGGAAAATAATAGTTTTATCATGCCAAAAAGCTGCTGTGTCGTTTAGTGCACCTCAAGCATTAAAACAAATCCAGAATTCAGTGTTTCTGTACTTCCTCTAAGAAAAAAAGGACAGTAAAAGAAGAGCTCTGTGGCTTCAGGCTTGATCGCCGTTCAAATGACAGCTTTGTTTTCCCCAAAAGTGGGCGGAACCGTACTTTTTGCCCGGAAGTGACGCATGTGTTACTCATCTATAGATAGCTTAAAAATAAGTTTGGTGTGCTTGGGCAGCTTTCTTTACGTGTGTCTTTGTTAAATCATTTTTTACTGTGCTTTGCAACAAGGTTAGTTAGGCACGACTGCACAGAAGAAGCCTTTATAAAACTGTATATGTGACAAAATATGTTATACTAACAATAACACTTCTTTATGTTGTTGTGTCTTAATGTTAAAGAGGTGATAGTTTACAGAGAACAGTAGATGGTAAGTGGCAGTACTGATGTGTTGTTATTTATCACAAAGTTAATAAATGTCTAATTGTTATTAGTTTAAGGGACTTACACAAGGTTGATGAGGCCGAGCAGTCCCATTCCTCTGAAGTCAGTCTTTGGATCGTCGCCCTGAAAACCGATGTCTCCCCACTGTTTGGTTATCCTCGAATCCAGTTTGACCGTCGGCATCAGCAGGTCCCACAGCTGAGAGGAAAATAATTCTGGGATTAAGTATTTCAGTTGCAACTGTACTGGTCAAATTAATTTGTATTCAAAATGTTGGAACAATAATCAAATCTTTCTATACTTTGATCAAAACCATGCTGTTTCATTGTGCCGTCTTTCTCTAATTATATAAATAGTTTCTCCTTTTAAAGCCTCAACTGCGTCGATGCAGGCAGGACATGTTAGTTCAAGATATTATCCTAATTATAAATATATGTAGAACTGAATCCAGAAGCAGGAACACACACCTTTAGGAGCATGGCCTCATGTTCTTGGTTCTCTGAGCTGAACACTTCCTTTCTCATGTTTTCCACAGATACGTACAGGCTGCTGTTTCCTGTTATCTGTAACAGACAGATGTGTAGGCTTTCCTTGAACCTAAACAGGTAGAGAGTTCAAATAAATAATTAAAAGTTTACAAAATGAAACTTAGTATGATGCAGAAATGAATTGCTGGTGACAAGAAACCTGAAAGAATCAGATAAGAACTTACAGCGGATCTTTCTGGGGTTTGACATTCTTCTCTTTCATGATTTGGTCCGCACATTTTTCTAACTGATCCTTGCTGGCTTCCAAAGCTCCTCTTAAAACCTACAAGGGATGAAAGCACAGGAGAGTAGGTTACAGCAGACCCGGCGCCGTGAACTGTGAACTTTAATGCTACGATGTATGTGATGTCAGATAGTAATATAAGAGTAATAAATGAAAAACAGGTATGAAATACTATATGACAGTAAAACAAGAATACAGTTTAAAAGGAGAGTGATTTGTAAAATATCCATAAAGAAAAAGTAAATTGGTTTACAGTTCTGCTTCATATGGGTGTTGAGAGATGTATCCATAGATCTCTTCATTTTGCTCTCCAAGTGCACCAGATTGATGCTTTTAACTTCAATATCAAGCATGCCCCCGGACCCCCCTAGAGGAGGTTAGGTCCACCCCCCACTTAAAAGAAATAGCACTTTACCCCTGCTTACACCTATATGCCGTGAGCTGATTATCGAGCCTTCATTGTAGCAGTCGCTGATATACTGTGTATGTGCGTGTGGGGAGTGTTGCATTCGAAAATTCCACTGTAGCGCCGGTACCTTAATGGAAAACCCTACATGTTTGAGCACCCTCTATGAAACGTCAAGCTACCCCACAGCACCCCCAAAAGAAAATCTCTGGCGCCGCGGCACATGACGGTTTTGTGTGCCCTCCCATGAAAATCATATGCCCTCTCTGTAGATTTGTTCTGGTCTGGGTTACAGAGAAGAAAACATACAGGGAGTGACCAGACAGTTGCAGCTGTATAATCTAAGCTGTCAGCCACGAGAAAAAAAAAAAAAACCTTTCAAAGTCGACCTCAAAAACAAAGAAAAAGATGACAAAGCACTTCTGTCTCGTCATTGAATGGACTGTTGGTCGGAAAATGCTTATCCAGCTATCAATGACAAGTAGAGTCAATGCATCTAAGCTGGGCAAGTGTTTTGAAAGATAAGAACTGATTAAGAGCACAGGATATGACTTTACATGAGTTCACATACAACAGCATACCAGATGACTAACAGCTCTGTTGCTAAACATGACGTGTATTATTTTCACTCCTCTGTAGGCTTACATAGCTTAGACATCAATTTAAGTGGATTATTATCCAGATCTAAAATAAATATCATATAAACCCAATCCAGCGACTTTCTATTGGCTCCCTACACACACTGTTTGTCTCAAAAGCACCAAAGCTTCAAAGGTTGCTCATATAATGTTTCTGAAATTCTGACCCTATTAACATTGTTAAGGGCCTCAGGTCAACCCAACAAAGATTTCCAGCCATCCAATAGAGTTTACACTCAAACACTCATGACAATGGAGACTCGAAAACTTGTATATGGCAGTTCCTTTCAAACCTTTTTTTAGGAAAGTGGGTTCATCATTGAGTTAATACAATTCCAACAATGTCAAATGCTAACCAAATAAAAAAAATTCAAGAGCCCAAAGTAATATTTTCAAAACAAAAAACGATTATCGGTAGTTTTGCTGTTTTTCATCAAGTCCGTGCAAAAGAGGCGCGTTTGTTTTTCAGCTATATAAAAGGAAACTTCAACTTGAGCATAAAACAATACAAATATTTATAATAAAATATATTCCTAAAACACAAATACTGGAAATGAACCAGGAGCAATCTTTTGTATATAAAGAAAATATCCCTGTAACACATTATCTAACAGAAACACACAGTCAACATTGTATTACCTTGTTCTTTGATGAGCGGAGAGAATATTCTGCAACAAGACACAAGAGACAGATTAAAATAATTGAGTAAACTTAAAACTATGCAGTAAAATTAAACAAAATTTGGAGTGAATTCACTGACCTGCTTTGGATGTCCTTGTTGCCCCAGGCTTGTTTCCGGAGCATATTCGCTGCAGCTCACATGTCCCTGTGGCCTGTCGGATGAACCACTTCAGCCAATATCTCAGGAAGGACGTGTAGACATACTGCCAGATATACCCAAGCATCTTCTATAACATGGACAGAGAATAGAAAGAACAATATGACATAAAGAAGCAGAACAATTTAAATCCTGCATCGGAGTAGCACCCCTTCAACTGTTCAAGAGTGCACTAAATGTCACTACAAGCTGTGGTTAAGCCCTGGTCCAGCTGGAGCTGAACTAATGAATAGAATAACTAGCAGCTTTTTTTGTTGGTGTTATCCATTGATCTTTGTCATAAAATAATAGAAAACACACTTCAAAACATCCATTCCCACTCGTCATCATATCTTGTTTTGTCCAAACCACTAAAATATTCCATTTACTAAAGCCTACAGCAAGAAAGGAAAACATTAAACTCACATATGAGAAATTGGAACCATCAATCATTTGGCATGTTTCAATCTATTTATCAAATAATTTACTAGCTTAAAACCTTTTTATACAAATGGAAATGTTGAACTTTAAAATGCACACTTTGACAAGCTACATTCATCTGAAAGTAAAAATGTCAACAGTCAACTATATCTACCTCCCAAACGTATTTAAGTTCAGTGTTTGAGTATCTGCACTTTCCACCACTGCCTAACGAGACTTAGCACAATGTCATCAGCATGAATGGGACACACTGGTGACTGTGTCATCATGACAATGGCCACAGTTCAGAGTTGTGGACAAAATATTCTGCGTTTCAAACCAGGTAAGAGTCCATGATAACATGTATGAGAGTCAATTGAACATTCCCATCTATAAAACTACAAATATATAATTTACTATAAAACTGGATTATGTGAAATTAGCCTTTAACCGAACAGGCAAAACAATTCCATTGTGGTAGCTACTGTAGCATTAGCGCTAAAGCTAACTTTATTCAAACGAACCTATTCCGTTTATGTTAAGCTACAAACATACGGCGAGTTTAGTTGCGCTTTAGAAACACTCCACCTACGTGTTAGCAAACTGAGAGCTAGTTACCTGTGACTTTAATAAACTAATTGAGCTAACTAGCTGAAAAACTCCCAGATGACAGGTTCACACAACAGGTTGTCATTGTATTCGCCAAACTGTTAGCACACGTTAGCTTTGTTATCCTAGATTAGGTTGCGTCAGATGCATTGTTGTTATTGTATAGTATATATGACGAACAAAAGGCAGAAGTTAATATTACCCTTTCTGCCGAAGAGACCAATATATATCCAAACTTGTCTCCACTTGCTGCTGTTAGCTGAGGGGCTGGTGAGTAAATGTTAGCTACGTTTCTCTTGACAACAGTCTGGCTCTGATGCGTTCAGGCTCTGCCCAGACATACGGCCGTTCACACGCAAGCATTACACGCAGTTGGGAAATTGACGATATTTGAATGGCAAGTATACTCAGATTTTAACATGACATACTTGTTTTCTTTTTATGGGAACGGGTGTTTTTCAAAATTTATAAAAATAGTGGAAACGCTTCGAGAAACTTGGGTTGACGTTTTCCTTGTATGCTACTTTTCTTGATTTCTATGAACACACCACACGCCACGACAGCCTTTCATTGACACAACGCTTTAGCGCCACCTACTGTCCAAACTGATGTGTGCACCAAAGCTAAAGAGACATACAACCTTTCATATAAATCAGGGATGGGCACCGGCTGTTGTTATGCCTGCTGTGACGTTAAATTACCGCTTGTAATTATGCCTTTACAAGCTTAAAAGTTGTATTTATCATCTGAATTTGGCGAAAAAAGTTTAATATTCTAAAAACCAAGACTTTGTTTATTTGAAATCAGATGAAAACAAACTGTCACGGACCCTGACGTGTTATCTATGATTAGGTACTATACGCTTTTCATTCATAATTTCAGCGGGAGGGAGGGGAGCGGCGCTGAGGAACAGCAGAGTGCGGGTTGACAGGTGTCTGTGTTGACATTCCCCTTGCAGAGACAGGCTACAAGTGTCTTAGGTTCAAGTTAGACAACTATTGTCTGGGTTAGTGTTCATGACTTCATGTTTATGTCATCTTAATGGTTAATCTCAATGCACACACATTTTCCGTGCTTTCCAATAGTTTTAAATTGTTTTATTCCACTGTTAAATAACCTGTTCAATACAAACATGCCACTTGTAAAAATTAAATAACATTTATGTGAACTGATATTTGTTTAGTGAGCTTATTAGAGGATGTTCCCTGAAAGATTGTAAAATGTCAATGAAGATGTCAGACTTAGTATATTTGTTAATAATTACATACAATACATGGAATTTGTGTGTGTGTGTGTTCCAAGTGAATCTGCGGCCCCCTGGTGGCCAGTACATAAATTATGTGGCCCCCACCACCATCCAAGTTGCCCATCCCTGATATAAATGTTATGTATTCCAAGCATTATCTCGAAAGTAAATCCAGATAAGTGTAGTGTTAACAGGAACAATCTTACAATCTGTTCTAAAGCTTCAAAGTGATAAGCTTTACAATACTGACCTGCGAACTCCATATACTACACACAGGTCACTCAGGTCAACCTAGCAACTTAATAGAGGTGGCAGAGTTTATTCTGTTGCAGCTGGCGCTCTCTGCATTGTGCTGTTCCACGATTGCAAATGTTTGATGAAGTACCCAACCTTTTTTTGATTATTTTTAGTTTTGAATGGCTCCCCAAAGGATTTTGTCAAATCCCATCTTAACTTATTTGTAATGTCTTCTTACTGCTTTTGAATCTGTTGTGTAAAGCAATTTGGGTCAAATCTTGTTGTTTTCAAATATGCTTTTTCCCCCAACTTGACTAAAAGTCCCTATTTCAGACATACCAAAGCTCACTGTAGTTGTGTTGAAATTATTGTCTGCATATAAAGTCGGTTTCAGCTAATAGAACCAGTCTAGCCAATAATTTGCCTTTCCAAATTCAACCACAAGATGATGCTAGATCCACCAATTGACAGTGTCAGGATTAAGTTAATAGTCTACTAAAATATAGACCAATTATTTGCCTTTATGTCTCCAGTATTCCACACAGATTCCATTAATAGGGAGTTTTACACATTTTGTATCATCATATCTTGGCCATATACAAAATGGTTGCAGACATATTGCCTTATCAATAAATTACATTTCTTCTCACCAACTGTGTCCTATATTCCAAACAGGCTGTCGTCAGCCTGAAGCAGCAAGTCTGGCCTCTCAGCATTTCCTACAGTATGTCCTGAGTCACTCACCAATGGTGCACTCCACTGTAATTAATTCAGAGTCTACCTTCTCACCTAATCAGTCCCTCTGGGCTTTTTAAACGCAAGAGGTCTATCCCATACAATTACTGCATTTCAAGAGGAGCTCCTATCTCAGGTCCAGGCTATTTTTAAACATTAAGGAACAAAGTAACCACTTATAATAAGAGCCTGCAGTCCAAGCAGGTAGCCAGTAATGCTGATATTGATATCAGTTAATAATGCACTGATGACTTGACAGAAGGTCAATGTTATTGTATCACAAATATAACTGAAAAATACTAAAATTGAAATGTATCAGATTTTGAATTTGTTTGTGTGTCTCTTCTTCACCCGCAGGGACTCGTCCTTTGGGTGCCACCAGGATGACATGGTTGACAGGAGGACCAAACAAACAGAAAACCAATGCAGGTGTTCTTTTGTACAAGTATGTCAAATGTAGTCTCAATCACTCACACTGCAAACCTGATGAGAAACCATTACTTTCCAGGATATATGGTAGAAAGTGATGATAGAGAGACACACTTTCTTTGGTTTGGTGAAAAAGGAAATTCAAATATATTATTCCACTAAAACTTATCTACAACAGGATTTAAAGTCATTACCAGATTTGTTTTGGGAATTATTTATTGAAACCTACATGTTTATTTTATCATCTTGGTTAAATGTATTTTTGCAATCTTTTTATCCTCATAAAACCTTTTTCAAAGCTTTGTCATCCACAAAGGAAAACAATCCATGTGTTTCAAATAACCTTAGTCCAGTGTCTTCAATCTGTTTACACCCAATACATCTTTACACTTTCAAACTCACTGCAGTGCAAAGTGATGCAGATTGAAGAGAATGAGTTGCAAATTCATATGGGAATAATTCAAAAAACATATCCTCTATCTATATAATGTAACAGGCTGCAAAACCATGCTGCCTGGATCTAAGAGTAATCAATTTCAAGTGCAAGTGGCTGGATGCCTGCGGCTGATACAGCACTGCCTCCACCCTCACCCCCCCATTCATCCATTCATAGGTTCACTCTGCTGCACCACGTCTCCTGCGCTGGACCTCTTCAGTCACACACCATGAGAGGTCCATTTTGAAAAGGGTGCACTTTTCCCCCCTACGCAACAAGAGCATCCCTCGGTCGGACGGCGGTGACTCATTGCGCACGGGCAGACAGGGGGGTGAATTTTTACGCTTCGGTGTGGAAGATCGATACATCTAATATCGTGGTGGAAGGCGTGGCTTGGTGTCACCGACAACAGGGCTGCTTTTCCATATTCATTTTTAGGGTTTAGGTTTTGCCTCATCTCACTGGCACGGACGCACCCCCAAAAGGAGCGAGCGGGACATACAGCGTCTCTCAAGGTAAGAAGCCCCCCTCCTCTTCTCATTACACGGGTTTCATGCGTATCAGATGTATAAATTGTCCGCAAGGTCATATCATATCAGCTCAGCATATATCAGTGGCCTCTATGATATTGGGCTGGGACAGGACTCTAGATTTGGGCTACAGTACATGACATAGATCTTAATTGGCCCGAGTGGTCGTGTGCAGCACTTTAATTTATGTACCTCGATTTCACATTCAGCACACACTTTCTGTTATTCCTAAACTGCTGCAGGCTAAATACACCGGGGCGTTTTAACTGTTGAATAAACACACAGGATTTATGCTCCCCACAAATATTTGCACTTTGAAAACAGACATGCAGATGCATAGTGGGAGAGCACTAATGAGCTACACCTGCACAGGACCCAGCACAGCAGGTGTTTTATTCAAGTTACAAATTATTATTTTTCGTACATCAAGAGATAGATTTTTATTTATTATTTGGTTATCTAGAAATGAATGTGACCAGATCTGTAAATACATAATGTTTGTTGTAGTGTAGACTTGTGACGATGCTTGTTTTTGGGAGTATAGGAATAACCTAAAAGACAAGGCTGGGTTTAACCTTACTTTCACTGAGATGAGTTTCACATTATGCAGTATGGATCATCATCAGTAATGTCACTGAAATGGAGATAGCCAACTTGCTCCCTGTGGAACAGTGAATTATCAATGGTGGTTCTTTCTCCTTTTTGTATGAAGCCTATTGATGGTTTTGTCTGATTAAAGGAAGGCTCGCTCACCTTGCAATTATTTTGCCGGACTCCAAACTATCGGATACTTCAGATGTTTGCTGAGTGCTGGCACATCAGTTGAAGTGGCTCAGACGCTTTTACACTTTAGGAGACAGACTGAGCTGAAGTCACTCATCAGGTCTGGGATCAAGAGATTTGTGAAAGTCAAATGCTAAGTACTATATTGATTATAAGATCAAATACACATTATTCTAAGCGTTCAAACCTTTTCTGTTTATGCTTCACTTAATGTGACCTGAGAGAAAAGAGGAGTTCAACTGTTTCCAGCAACTCTTTAGGTGTGTCTAAATTCTCATATAATTTCAAATAATCATTGATTTACACTTGATGTTAACAGGGCTATGCAATCTATAAAAGAACACAGTAGTGAACAATTTAACTGATCCAACAACAAGATCAGAGGACTCCCTTTTGTGAGCATAAAGAAGGGTTTTGACCAGCTTTGTTATACTGGCACTCCTTGCACTGTAGCACTGATTATTATCGGTATTTATTCAATATTTAGATGAGAACTGTGTGATAAGCAAACGCATCAATTATGAATTTAGGAATAAGATAAGATAAGAGAGATAAGATTTTCTGCACACTTCTTCAGGATAACCCCAAGTAATTATGTTTTGTATTAGTTGTACAATTGGCTTTCTCCTCAATTGAAATAGAATTGAACCTGAAACCATTTCACTAGTGTTGTGCTGGCTTTTATAGTAAACCACTTATAAGAGCCTCAAATAAAAGAGTTCCTGACAGGGAATGCTGTACAGTTGTCCATTTATTGTCTCAATTGAACCCATGGATTTCTGCAGGAAATGCAAGAAAATAAATCTCCAATTTCAGTGTATAAGACATTCAAACTAAAATGGTTTATATAATAATTTGAATCATACTTTGATTGAAGTTCACAAGCAACTTTAAGAGGAAAAACACACTACAGTACATTCATCTTAATTCCAAGCAGTAGTTGAATTAGAGAAATTGATTGTTCCGGTCCTTTGCCTTTATTCAAACAATGATTATTTGAATGTGTGTTAGTGGACCTGGGACCTGGACTGCATTTTACCTAATGCTTACATAATCTTGGCCTGGACTTCCATGTGAGTCTGGTCTGATACGTGTTTTTATCTCAAACATTTAAAACCAAACTAAGCCAATTTCTATTTTCCTCCTTTAGGGACTTACACAAAGGCCCCATCTGTTTTCATCTTTGGATTACAACAATATTTAAAGACTGAAACAGTGAATCCAGCATGGGAACCAACCCAAAAAGGACAGTGACAGTCCAGATGGTGCCTCAGCTGGCTGTGATAGACACGCTGGGCAATAAGGAGCCGAATGCCAACTGGGTGAACGAGCCCAACCTCCAACTCTCTCAGGTTTGTCCAAAAACAACCCTCACATCTCCCGATCACACTCAGGATAACTCATCTCTGACTGCTGCTCCCGATATCACACAAATCCCCAAAACTGCTTCAAAGGGAGGAGAGCCAGTCTGCAGCGCTGTGTCAGACAAACCAGTACCGACTAATGGAAACCAGACGAAGACAGAACCTGTGACAGGAGGAGATCAACAGATGCAAGACCTGTCTCTAACAAGCCAAAGTGTGGGTGAAGCAGGACGAGACCAGAGGGATTCAAACGCTAATATTAAAATGTTTAGCCAGGCTGATAAAAAGGATATCTGTAAGGCAGATACAGCTCTAACAGCCTCAAAGATCGACATGCAGAACAATGATTGCAGAATAAAGGGGCCGAGTGCAGCAGAGGAGGAATGTACAAAGTTGGCATCCTCCTCACGAGAGGACAGTAATAAAAATGTACCTGCAAGTAATACAAATCTCAACAACCCCTGTGAATTAAGGCATACAGCATCTGAACTACAACACGATAATAAAGGGAGCAGTACAGCTCCAAAAAATAAGGACACAGCTGTACCACAAAAACTTCAAGAGCCGGATCACATGTGTAGCAGCTCACAAAGCTCTGTCAGTCCGAAGGAGACTCCCAAAGCTCAACAACGCATAGAAACTACTGCAGCTTCTCATTGCTCAACTACACCTCCGTCTAAGAGCAATGATGTAGAGGTTAGGTGTACTGATAAGACTTCAAGTTCATCACATCCAGAGAAGGACTTGCCACCAGTAACGAAAGCACAAGTCTCTTCAGATAAACATCAACCAGCGTCTTCTCAGAAGGACTTATCCACGCTGGATGATCCCAAGGAGACTACCAAAGCTAAACAAAGCATAGAAACTCCTGCTGCTCTTCTTTGCTCCACTACACCTCAGTCTAAGAGCAAGGATGCAGAGCTTAGGTGTACTGATGCAACTTCAAGTTCAACACATCCAGAGAACATGCCTCCAGAAAAGAAACCTCATGTCTCCTCAGATAAACATCATCCAGCATCTTCACAGAAGGACTCCTCCACTCTGCCCCAGGCGTCACAAATCATGAAGGCAGATGCGTCGGAGGAAGCCATCCAGATCAACACATCTGTCTCTGAAGGGCAGCAGCAGCTCAGCAAGCTGTTCAAGGAGGCTTCAACGATGACTTTATCCCCGTTCCCCACCCCAGTTAAGCAGCTTCATGATATGGAGGTTCAGGCGGTTGCAAATATGTGCAGCAAGGCCGTGTCCACAAGTCCCAGCCTGCTGCCTTTCACTGTGCCTCGCAACGGTGGAGCGGTCCCCATGGAGGCGGCGCAGAGCCTGGCTGTCGTCTACCAGGCCGACGGGGGTGTGGGAATACATCAGATCAGCATGAGTCCTCTACCTACTGATCCAAGGTCAGAGAGACTCACGGTTGAGGCGGAGATGTGCCCCAACCAAAACGTCGGTGTGGTTTTTCCTTTAGAAACTTTGTCCCAGCAGCAGGACAAAAGGCTCGGAGCAAAGCCTAAAGACTCGGCTCCCTGCAACACACAGCCAGTTTATCAGATCAATATTGAACACAGCAACCCCAAGGAGCAAGGAGAGACCGGTAACTCCCAGAATAAAACAAGTGTTCAGAAATCTACAGCAAAAACAGCCACTACTGAGGCTCCCTCTCTTATATCAGGAAAAACCCAAGAGACAGCCGGTGCTTCCAAGGCTGGATCTGCTGACAGTAACAAAGCTGCGCTGTCTCAGGCTGCTGTGAAAACCAAGCCAACTCAAGCCCCGCCAACAACAGCAACAACAGCAACAAAAACAGCATCCAAGCCAGAACCAAGGAAAGTAAAAGCTGCAAGTCCGAAACAGAAGGCTAAAGCTGGTGGTAAAGCCTCGAAGAAGGAGACAAAGTCAAGCAAACAGAAGATGGAACAAGAGAGGAAGAAAGAAGAGGATGAGCTGAGGGAAAAGGTCATCCATGATGTCGTCTGGGATGAACAGGGCATGACCTGGGAGGTCTACGGGGCGTCGGTGGACCCAGAATCCCTTGGTTTTGCCATTCAGAGCCACTTGCAGTGCAAAATCAAGGAGCAAGAGAGGAAACTGGTGGTGCAGACCTCCATCAGGAAGTCGGTCTCTGGTGCGGACTCGCCGGCACACGGCAAGAAGAACAAAAGGAGGCAGCAGAACATTTTCAGGTCAATGCTGCAAAATGTCAGACGGCCAAACTGCTGCGTGAATCCCCCTTCCTCCTCCGTCCTCGAGTAGCGAAGCGCAGAGGTAGCCAATGTCAAACTCTTCCCTTTTTCCTAGAGGTCAAAATGTTTGTCCTCCGCAATGCCAAGTGAAAGCATTAATGAGGCGACGATCCCTGTAAGTAGGTCAGTGAGTAAGTAGACTGGACTGTTGTAGCATAAAGAGTCAAACTATTTGTGATGTTTGTGAAGAAGGTAGAAAATAGAAATATACTATGAACAACCCAAGATTTATTTTATAGAAATAGAATTGATAAAAAGAGAGAACTTGAACTAACAGAGGCAATAATAGAGGAACGCATGTATAAGTTAGGATTGTGTGACCTAAAGTGGAGTGCAGACCTTCACAGGGAAAGGCACTGAGCGCAGGGTAGACATATTACTAAATATTTGTGCAACTATAACCAACATCTCATTGCATTTGGTGCATTTGGTATATGTTTTTCAGGTGTTTCTTTCGGGCCCTATATTTATAAGATTGTTGTATTTTCCTTTCATGCACATTTATCTTTAGTAAGTGATTATGTTGTGCAAAAAAGGGACTGTATGCAAACATGCGCTGTTTAATCTCTGTTCTTCTTTGGTTTTCTATTAAAACAACACAAAACTAAGTTGAGCTCTTGAACTCTTCATTTAGCACCAATGGTGTGTGTGTGTGTGTGTGTGTGTGTGTGTGTGTGTGTGTGTGTGTGTGTGTGTGTGTGTGTGTGTGTGTGTGTGTGTGTGTGTGTGTGTGTGTGTGTGTGTGTGTGTGTGTGTGTGTGTGTGTGTGTGTGTGTGTGTGTGTGTGTGTGTGTGTGTGTGTGTGTGTGTGTGTGTGTGTGTGTGTGTGTGTGTGTGTGTGTGTGTGTGTGTGTGTGTGTGTGTGTGTGTGTGTGTGTGTGTGTGTGTGTGTGTCAGGGGATGTGAAAGCAGCAGGAAAATCCACACAGTCCACAGGAGGTGTATTAGAGTGACAGACTGCAGCTGAGAGAAGAGGTAACGTAGGTTTTAGACGGCTCTTGATACATTAATGTCAAACTTAATGAGCCAGTTTGTGATCTCCCTCGAGGGCATGAAGTCTGTTCAAAGGATAGTTTGCTCCTAACTATTTCCCTTTGATTTACACCAAGATATGCATGCAAGTCTAGACGGAACACTTTTTCTTTTAAGTTTAACATAAATCCACCATTTAGCATTGCCTTCTTGTTTGTGAACAGAAGATGTACAAGTACAGGGTTCAGTCAGCCAGAGAAGACTTTTCTGCAGAAGTGTTTTATAGGTCAGAGAAGGACAGCAGGGACTAGATCTTGTACATTTTTCTAAGAACAAGATGTATTGCTTTGTCATGCTGTAAGTCTGAATTTAAGATAAGATTATGAGCATATCATTTGGAAGCAGTGCGTAGTCAGAGAGGGAGAAGAAGCCTGAGAATCAGTTATTTTATGCCTAAGGTCTGAAATGGGCAGTTTTATCTGCATTGAACAGAAGAATTGTCTTTTGCCCATTTTGCAAAGCTGCAGAGGGAAACAGACAAACTGTATTATATGCAGTCATATATGTATATACATTTTTATAGTGCTTCGAACAAAGGTGGAATACAAACAAAGGTGCAATTAGAGCTGAAACAATTTGATCAATAAGTCAATCGGCCCAAAACAAACAGCATCTATTTTGACATCCTTAGGCACATTTTCAATGATGGTTACAATTTTTTTTTTCAAATGTGGGGTTTTGTTGCTTGTCATTAAATGATAGTAAATGTAATATTTTATTTTTAGAATGTTTTACAAAACACGACATTTGATAATTTAAAATTGAGCTGGAAAATGTGATGAACCATTTTCTGATGTTGCATCCTCCAAACAATAAATGTATTCACCAAAGAAAGAAAATCAACAGATGATTTGCTAATAAAATGTAGTGAATCCCCAGACCCAATACAAATGTAATTGAACATAATCTCAGTCTGAGCTCATCTAATTTAATTAAAGTTTCCAGGTTAGTACTAGGGCTCTTGTCATGGGATTTCCAGCCGCCATTGTTCACTGTAACAGTATGATGATTACATTGTCATGTTTTTTCACTGTTTTCATATAGCTTTGCTTTGACTGAGTCACTTCATATTTTGAGGAACATTTCCAGAAACCCTTTTTTATTTTTTTTATGGTGAACACTTCCTTTCAGAGTAAATGTACTCTTCTGTTCGGTGAAACGCTGATTTCAAGCGACTGCTGTTATTGTCTTAACAAGCATGTCACTTCCTGTTAGTATCAGGATGTGATAGCATGGGAGAAAAGTTCTCTGTATTCGTAGTCTCTGTCACAACCTCTAAAGAGTATCGTGGACTGAAGTCCCTAATCTTTAAGCCTTTTTTCATCCACCAGGATCAGAGGACACTGATAATACTGAGACATTGTACTGATGTCTCATTCTGTCTGCTCACATATTGTGTCAGAAAGATATGCTGAAAATGTTGAAAGTGACCTCTTTAAGTACTCTTATTTAATACATGTGTTAACCTACAGAGCTGGTGGAAGTGTGCCAAACTGACATCACTAATCTGTGGAGTCATATTGAATAAATCCAGCCTCAGGTAGATTGATGTGTCTCCCTCCTCCTCCTGAGGTCATTTTCTCCTTTACTCATCCACTCCGTCCCTTTCTGCCACCAGATTCTTTCACCCGAGCTTTAATTAGCTTCTGTTTCAATCTTTAATAGCCGCTTTCTCACTGTGCCTTTACGCCCGGGCCGCATTTGGAAGTGCAGATTAGATTCGGCCACAGGCGGCGGTTAGCACAGAGGGAGATTTGTTTCAAAGACGGGGGACATGGAGAGGGATTTGAAAGGCATAATGGACATGTACGATACCTCCCACTGCTCTATCTACCAGAGGACACTATTCAACTTGCTTTCAATATTCACCTCGGTGGCTGTGCTCCATGCCCTCGGTATTTTAATTATCCCATACCTTAGACCACATAGCTGCACATTGTGTATTCTTAATGGAGCATACTGTACTGTTGATTTGTTTACTATCAACAATGAATCTGTCAGGACCTCGATACAAACTGATGAACCCAAATGCACGACCCAGAGACAAAGTCTTGAATGTAATAAAATGTATTTATTAATTCCAATGATCAGGAAATCCCTCTTAACAGAGTAGGTGCTGGAATAAACAAAAAGCGCTCACAAGGAGGAAAAAACTAGGCATAACAAAAGGAGAATTTAGAGAAAACTTAAGCCTACAAAAATCAACAAAATAACATAACCTGACATGAGAGAAAGCGATCCTTTCTGAGTAGAGGCTTGGCACGACCATTCGGGGAAACAAACAAGACGAACTGACACAGGACAGGGGAGAGACAGGACTATTTAAACATGAGGTGAGTGGGAACAGGTGGAAACAATCAGGGGCGGGGCAGACGCTGATGATGGCGGGAAAAACACACAGGGCGAGGAAGAAACAGGGTCTGAAATGAAAGACAAGAGGTAAGTACAAAATAAAACAGGAAATGACAGACAAAATACATAACTAACACATTTGACGAGACACAACAGAATCATTCTGTTTTTGACAGACCTGCCTGTTACATTTCTGTCTACTGTAAGTCGGAAATGTAACAGGCAGGTCTGTCAAAAACAGAATGATTCATTGTTTATAGTAAACAAATCCTGTAAAGACCAAAAACAACATTATGTTAGTCCTTTGCTCGAAATGGCTACATTTTTGAAAATGTATTGATTTGCTCTATTGTGGAGAGTTTAGTTCAATAATTAGCAGCTTGTTCCCTGAAAAATGATGTTCCCATACAAGACTGCATGGTCAATTATATTAGAGAGGCCCTATTATGCTTTTTGGGGGGTTTATGTCTTTGCGTATGTGAATAGTCTGCAAAGGCTAAAATCCCAAAGTCCCCTCCTGAGGGAGTTTCTCTCCCACACACTCCCCCCTCTGCCTGAAACGCCTCCATTGGAATCTTTAGTTTACTTCTGTAACATAGTGACGTCACTATGTAACACTGGCGCTTCTATTAGCTAGAGCTCCAACTCTCTCAACGGTTGACCAATCACAACAGAGCCGGCCAGCTAACCAATCAGAGCAGACCGGGCTCTGGTTTCAGACAGAGGGTGAAAAGAGGTGCTGCAGCACAGGCAGTATGAGAAAACATTTTGAACATTAAAGCTTGGAGACATGTCACAGTAGAGGCACAACATGCAAATATGAACCTGAGAATGTGCATAATAGGGCCTCTATAAGAGGAATTTACGTCTGTTTTTCATGTAAAATAAATGTTATTCCAATCACAGGACTCATTGAAAAAAAAGAAGCTTTCCTCCAGACTGAATGCCAGAAGACAAATGTACAGTGATGTACATTTTCACTTTACAAGTACAGAGGTTACTTTGCATACAAACTGACTGCCAGTGTTTTGCCTCAGTGATCCATACATCAGTGATTTCTTAGTGATCCACTGTAGCTCCACCTCTCCATTAGCGCACTATATTATATCTTCAAAAATTGAAAAAAACATAATAACTTAACATTAAAGTGAACAGTCATGTTTCCATTTGGCTATTCATGTGCTGTAGAAACTTTGGTGATTAAATAAATATCTTCATGACAGCTCAGCACTGATACCCAGTTTAGTAGCAACATGGTAATCTCTCGAGCGTTACCACTTAGCAAGGAAACTCCCAGGCTGTGTCAGAAGATGAAATTAAAGACGATTGGAGCAGCAGGAGCCCCCTGTCACAGCCCGGGGTCCCCTTGACTCACGCTGAGATTTTGAAACTAATGATACTATACTCTGTTCGAGAAGACGTGCTGTTGGGAAACATGCGGTGCAAGAACTTAATGGAAAAACTGGTGTTTATCTGTGGTTTCAAATATGGAGGGTACAGAGAAACCATGCCTCATGTCTACCTATGTCTTTTGCATTGTCGGGTTTATGTAATTGCTAAAATGTACTTTAATCTGTGCATAAGGGTAAATAATTGACTTTATCCTTTCCTAAATCAAGTTTCTAAGAGGCTGTTCTTTTACACAGCTGAGTGATAATCTGGAGATCTCCATGTTTGAGGGTACTTTTAGATACCCAATTAGATAACTTTCAGTGGAAAAGATTAGACCTAATCTTGTTTTGACTCATTATTCACTATTTTGGATGTCACTGCAACATTTCAAAGTGTAAACACTGCCTATGGAGCAGCTTCTGATTCTGGAGGGCATCAGGGCAGCAGACACATTTTTCAGCTATAATTGAGGTCCCACGGATAAGTTGCTGTCCTGATATTGGGATGCAAGATCTTCCTGCAGTGACCCAGTTTGTTCATAAACACATTAGCGTCTTCAGCTCCAATATAAACCCTGCAGATGCTCATAACAAGGCCATCGTTGGAATAAAATCCACTAACAGATCATTTGTGGTTATATTAAATACATTTTTATCATGGGAGTTGGTGCTAATTACTATTTACAGATCAAATGTCTGAGATTGGGTAATTAGGGATGGCTGGTGTCGCCATTTAGTTGCATAACCATGGCTTCAAAACTGAGATGAAAAACTGACTGGAACTTTGCATCTTTCCGTCTTCAAGCATTGCTGTGCTGTTTTTCAAAAACATTTTTCATCTTCTGTGTTTTCTTCCTCTCACTGTGCCTCCCCCTTTCAACTCCCCATTCCCCGTTTTCTCTCGAAGCCCACGTTTCTCTCTGTCTCCTTTCTGCCTTTGACGATGATATCATAATGATGCCAGTAACAGTGAAGTGATTAAAAGCTTCTGCTGGCCTCCACTCTGCAGGATATTTCCCATAAAATCATGCTACTGCTCCTCACCCCTTTTGTATGCTGGTATTAAATCAGCCAGATAGCTGGGAGTGAGGCTCCTGATGGCCGCTCTGTTCCCAGTGGAATATGTGGCCTACATTTGTTTATAGTGCAGCCAATGTGAGTGTGTTTCTTTGTCTAACTATTTTCTGCAGCGAACCCCCACTTTTGTTTCCTCAAACATGGGCTGATTAGTCCTTTTTCTGTCTGTCTGTAGTCTTTCCCTTCCTCTCTCGGTTTTCTCTCACATACTGTACATGCATCAAGGATTTTATATCTCATCATTGATTGCTTACCATTCAGCTCACGAGCACATGCCCTCGTAACCTTTACAACAGCGCATACATGTGAGCAGGATACACGTTTGACAAAAACACACAGTCACACACACACACACACACACACACACACACACACACACACACACACACACACACACACACATACAGTATATACACGAAGGTCACCTTCCTTGGCTTCATTAGAGACTGCTTTATTATGGCTACAGATGTGCCCATAAATCATAGGTCCCCTGGTGGAGCGAGAGAAGATACAAAACAAACTGATAAAGGTGTAACTCACTGAGAAAGGGAAGGTGATAGATAATAACACAGACACAACAGCATACACCCATATACCAATACACTGTGGCTATTGACAGTGTCTTCAATAGGTTTCTGCCATTGTACTGCCTAAAGAAAGCGTCTCTGGGGAGAGATCAGCAGCTTTTGTCACTGAGAAAAAATGGACAGGAATTTTTATCTTTAGGGGAAAATTAAGTTTTAAAGATGCTTCAGATTATAATAAACCCAAAGTGAGTCTGATAAAACCCAATCAAGTGTTTTTCTATGGAGTTTCAGCCCCGAGACGAAGATCCTTTGTGAAACTCATTACCTCTGAACTCAGTGCTTTTGTTGCATTGTCTGCACCACTGCAGAGGAAGTTAATCCCCCTCTTTTCATCCCCTGGACAGTCAGAGAGAATCATTATTTTATATCTGTAAAAAGAATTAATTGGATGGACATTGCAGTTATTAAGATTCTAAATATTTTGTATTCTTGTATTTACTTTCTATAAAAAAATGTATTTTGGAGATCTAATGAAGGAACTATTCAGAGCTCTGCCGACCGGGTTCACGTTAAATTTATTTTAGTCCTTTTTAATTACCTGTCAGTCACTTGTTTTTGCAGTGGCTATTCCATTTTCTAGTTAGCAGTGGATAATGAATAGTGTAATAATAATAGTGAGTTTAAGTTCACTGTTGAGTTGTCCAGCCCTCAATTTAACGTCACTTACAGAGTTGTTTTCAGCCACAGCATCAAGCTGTTTTCATTGGATACGTTTTGAAAGCCCACTGTACAATACCTGCAGCAGATTGACACAATTATTCACTAACTATTTTATTGATTACTAAACAGTGTTTCAAACCCCTCTCCACAATGCCAGATTGTCCAGGTTAACTGGCAAATGATGAATCCTTTAAAAATATATTAATTTACGGCCAGAAAGTATTCAATTGTAAATGTTGAGTCTAAAAATAATGCAATAAGCTTATAAAATACTCACCATATATGTTTTTAATTGGAAAATGTAAACCCCACGTTTCTTAAATGCACAATGCCCCCCCAAGGACATTAACTCAGTTTAAATACTTCAATATGGTCCTCACAAACTCTGGTCAGGGCCTTTTCAGTAATTTACAGCTGTTGACTATGCCTACATTACACACTGAGTGTTGATGCAATGAATAAAGCATTCAGTCATCAGTTTTTAAGATAATGAATTTGCTGCTAACAGCTAAGAAAAAAAAACCCGGCTGTTCTACTGTAGTGAGCACCAAGATTAGAAGACACAGCAGTTGATTAAAAAACTGCAGTGTGATTTAAAAAATAATTCACAAGCCTTCAAATATTCCATTGTTTAATAATTGTACTGTTCATCTTCGTTATCCTTTATATCTTCAGCACTCTGGATTGTCATCTTTAAACATGCAAAACTCTTTACCGTCTAAACAAAAATAAGATCTAGTGACATATTCCAGAAGAATAATGATTAGTTCGAACATCTAAAACCAGGTTTTCTGTGCCACGTGACTTTTACCTCCATTTCAATCAGTTCCCTTGAAAGATATCCTGATGACCTTTTTGATTGAAGACCCATTTCCATAAACACTCATTAACTGGTTGTTATGATAATGTCTGATTTATGGCTCTTTACATCCAGCCACTCTCAGGCTGGCATGCAGCACAAACATCTGTAGAGCTCAAGGTTCATCTGTGCTGTCAGATACTTTGGGTAATAAGCTGGTGATCTGTTGTACGAGGCACAGTTTGCTGCATCTTCCTCCACTGTGAGGAAAAATGGACGAGGAGAAGGGCAGCCGTCGGTCCAGGGGTTGCAGCACCCTGGAAAAATGTCTGATATTTCTTTTCGTGGCCATGACCGGCGTCTGCATCGGCCTCGTGGTCGTCTACTTCACTGAGAAGAACTCGACTACTCTTACAGAAGGTGAGTGTGTATACTTAGAATATGTATTGTACTTCATTTCAATACTGGCATGTTTCTGAGGTATTTTGTGGTTTATGCCCCTCTTGAATTCATTTTGGAGATGTAACATCATCAATCAAATAACTGAAACATTGTGTTGACATAACAAACCACATATAAATAACTTTGGTTCCTTGAAATACTTGAAAGCGTGTTAATATGAGGGAGGATAAATCAAGGCGTTGAACATTTTTGAAAATTAATCAAAGGTCATTGAAAGTGTTTTTATTTTGTGCAAGAATAGAAGAAGTGCTGTCCTGTGTTAGAGAAGTCTGCCTTGACTGTAACAGTGATTAAGATGTGTTCACGTATTCAAGCCCTCTCATATTAACTGTTGTATATGAGCTTTTCAGTTCTTAAAATAAACCTTCCCAGTATTAATTCCCTAAGTAATTAATCTTGATCCGAGTCTCAAACTATGTGCAAACTTATCGAAAGTTGCCCTGTAAATTCCTCCAATTTGTTTTCATATGAGGGACCCTGATTAACTTAATATTACAGTAGATAAACATTCTTACTTTAAATACAATTAAACATGCTGCAATATGTTTGCTATCTCTTATGTTTTTTGCTTAAAGGTGTGGTCGGTAATTCACTTCGGAAACACTTTTTGTTATATTCCATGGAATGCTCTTAACATCCCGATAGCAATGAATATATTAAATGCTTTGACAATAAATACATAAAAACATTTCTGTGGAAGCCGTGGCGCTATAAAAAGCACGACCAATCATCTGAGCCAGCCCGGCTAAAATAACTGGATGGCCTACCTGCCTGTCAGCCTTCCATCTCCTGCACAAACTTATCTCGTGCCCTCATTGGTCATGTGCGCGTTCGTGTGTGTTGGAGGAGGGGCTCTGTAAGGAAGTCTGAAGGAAGAGGCAGATTTTTTCCGGTTGTGTATTTTCAAATTCTAGCGCACTCGAGCTGGTTTCTCCATTCTAGTGATGGGAATTATGGCTCTTTGAAGGGAGCCGGATCTTATGGCTCCGTTCCTTTCAAAGAGCCGTTCAAAAGAGCCGTTTTTTTAAAGGGGGCGGGGTTACTAGGTTTATCTGTGAAATAATCACCAGTCATAATGATAATTAAGTGGCGATGGAGATCATTTGTTGACCCTGCTTTAAAGGATATTTTGCCTTTACAAATGGTGCGCTTTATCACTGCCTGGGTTTTGGTTGATGTGCATCCAAATGCTGCTGCGTTTTCGGGTTTGGCTCATTTTTCATCCGAAAAACACATCGTCTACCTGTCCTGTACCACTTGTTATGACTTCTCTCTCTCGCGTATTCCGTTAAGACCGTTAAGACCCACCCCATCTCACTCCTCGTGCTGAAACCTACCAATCAGAGTAGGGGCGGGTCTTCACAGAATACGTTTGGGGAACAAAATCAAGCTTTTTAAAAGGCGAGTGGATTTTGGCAGGCAGTGAGTGCTGACCAACGATTGAACGATAAAAAGAACGGCTCTCACCAAGTACGACTCGGTTCCCCTCGTTCGTACCAAAGAGCCGTTCAAAAGAATCGGCTTGTTCGCGACCGACACATCACTACTCCATTCGTACCTACCCTACCTTTAAGTGCATAGTCCCTCTCAGATAAGATAATATGCAATAACACGTAACCTCACAATAAGATAAAAATACTGTATTACAGTGACGTAATGTTTAACAAGAAGAACTAGAATAAAATGTTTGTATTAGAGGTTTCAGTGGCTCGTTCACACATATGAAGCCAGACACAGTTGAATGCGTTGGAGCTGTGAGGAAAAACAAACAACACAGCGACAGTGAAGAGTCTAAAGTGAGAGTGTCCTTAGGCCAATGATTCAGAGACTGAGCAACACTGAAAACATGTTGTCAGATTAGACCTTAAGTCTCTTTTGATTGACAAGTGGCAGGGTTTTGTCAGTGTTGATTATATTGGCTGAAGAAGGTCATTTATATAAGAGACTGGCTATTATTATCTATGGACACATGATAGTTGACGTTTAAACAGTAACCTATATGAATTGAAGGAAGGGCGCACACATTTTCTCCAGGTTTATTGATTTCTTTAAAAGTCTAAACAGACAGGGCATGCAATTAGGAGTAAGGAGGCTATTTTATTTTATTTTCCGAGTGTTTAATTATATCTTTATGAAATGCATTAAAAAGGTCACTGCCAGCCAAAACAGATGGCTTGTCTTACAAAACAACAACGTGATTATGTTGACAATTATGTTCTGCCTGAACTACAAAAAAGATTCCAGTAGTTTTAAACACAGCTGAGCTACAAACAGAAGCTGCTGCACCAACAAGGGAGTCGGGACAGCCTGCTGCTGCTTTATGAGCACATCCTGTATAATCAATGCTGTTACCAA